GGGGGGGGTTGTTCCGTACCACGGCAGGGTCGACGAATGCGCTCCAGCCGTCATCTTCCTCAAAGAGAGCCAACACAAAGGACACAACAGCAGAACCCAAGAGTATTATGACCAGCTGGTCTTTGAATTGCTCTAGAATGAGCTCCCAGAGAGGGGTCGGAGGATCTTCGGGGATAACTATTTGAAAACGTGCATGTCAGCCTGCATGGACAACAGAACAAGTGCATCAGCTCCACCAGCTGACTGGAAGGAGGGCTTTGAGGGTATAGAACAGGAATAAGCGAGGGAAGGAGGCCAAGAGAACTGACCATTCTTCCCATATTTGGAACGCAGAGATATGATCTGGTCGTCACGCAGCCCAGTCCTAGCATCAACCTTGAAGTTGGCTAGGACCTGGTCCGCAGGTTTCGCAAAGGCATTGTCCATTGCACAGGAGCTGCTATACTGCGCTCACAAGGTCACACCCGGTTCTAAGCATGTAAAGAAGGGGGATCGAAACAAAGATGTGGTAAGCCTGAATGGTTGAGATGTTGAAACCCCAACGCTCAGCTCTGATCAACAAGGTCCTGCCGAGAAATTCGTGAACAAGGAAGTTCGGCAGGGAAAGGGGTGGTCGAAGATAGTGGCAGGCGCAAACCAGACGTAGGTCAATTACTCCGTGAGGAGAGAAAGAGCGGATGTTAAAAAGGAGAGAGATAAAAAGAAGTGAAGGCAGGTTAGAACAGCAAACAACCCTTTATCCTGGTAGCAGTGTTGCGTAAGAGGTGGGGCTTGTCAGAAACGAGGGACGGTGAAAAAGCAGATACCAAGAATGTTCTATGGATTTCCTGGCCTCCCAAAGAGCGACATGCACGACAGGGCAGAAGGGTTGTGGTGGACGTGATACGTGTTCGTTCCGTCGGTAGAGGGAAAAGCGGCTGTCCTGCCCCACAATCGGCAGACCCCTGTGCAGGTACAGCCAGCCCATTGGGGTGCTGGAAGTAACAAAGTATATACTTTATGTCTAGGTACTTCGGATATAGCAAAGTTGACCAGACTTGGCAAGTGTTCGCCACCTGTAAAAGAGGTATAGATACTTAATTCTGCTACTATGAATTAATACCTAGGTATGCTAAAGTAATTATACCTGTCTACCTAGGTAGGTAGTTTTTCGAGTTGACTAAAATCGCCTCCACAGAGAGCCAAGACGTACCTAGCTATGTACCCCCTTAGCGTTACTGATATCTTTTTGGCCGTTTGCTGAGTAATATCCACCCACGTTGTTGGTGTCTTCCTCCGTATTCGGCCACCATCACGACAACTAGGTACCTACGAAGTCAGACAGTAACCACTAGGTAGACAGTAAGGTAATTACAGCAGGCTAGTTTCAAGAGATCGTCACGAGTCCAATATCTTTGATTTTGCATTTACAGATATGTATGTTTTATATGGATGTATAACTAGCCGCGAGTCATATCGTGTAGCGAAGTGGAAGTGGACGACACGCTAATATAAATGGGCAAGCCGTTTCGTCAAGGTGGTTTTTCGCTTCGTTCCGTATAAAGGTAGTTTGAAGTGGAGGCTACTTTTGGCCACCTTCCAATAACTCTGAGATATCTTACTCCTTAATGTGTACCTCGTCTCTGAGTTATCCGCAAAGACTCAAGGACCGAGTCAGCCTCTTATTCCGTATCCCTTCCCCTTGACTCGCTTCACAAGGTGGGGGGTTCGATGAGACTCGGAGCCCTCGCATTGTCACAATGCCATAATTGCCAGTGGGAAAGTTCAAGCACGGCAGTCAAGCTGCATCGGAGCCGAGCGCCGAGCCCAAAGCACCCTCGACTAACGGAGCGGGGTCCGTGAGCCTCAACCGCGTTCGGCATCAAGCCTTGCCGACTTCACAATTGCTGCGGTGTGCCCGTGACCATGACCGTCCTCCGCTGGCGGCCCGGCCCGAGTGGTCACAAAGGTAGTGCCATTCTGCCATGTTTCCATGCTGCCCGCGAAATGTCACCTGTGCTTTTTAGATTTCCAGGTTTCAAGATCCACATGCTCGGGTCTCCTCAGGGTAACTCGGTTCGATATATCATATTACCATTCCTTCTTCTTCTGTTTGGGAACCAGGCAGGCTTGCCTTCCGTCATCTTCTGGTGTCTCGTCCAGTCTCTAGTCCCCCGGCCCTTCCAAGCTCCTCACTCCCCCCACCTACCCTACCTTACCTGTACCCATTACACAGTACCTAAGGCTATGTCTCTCATAGCCTTTGCTGTTTTTTTTTTCAACTGCAAATCCATTTTCCTCCTCCCCTGGCCAGTTCTTTCCCTTGGACATATCTAGATCGCTACGTATTCGACTGCATCTCGTCCTACATCTCGATCACTTTCCCCTGTCTCTTCCCGCTTCTGCACCCAGAGTAGTCTTGCATCCTTCCTGCAGCTATTACTGTTACATCATGACCTGAGTTATCGTCCAGTCGTCCAGGATTCTACTGGATTTACTGTGTAGTTTGGTGCTTTGGTGTCTTGGAATCGCATTCTGCATCTGCACTACTACCTCACTGTGCCGGAAGCTAGAGAGAATATCATGGCTCTTGTCGAAACCCGCGCTGCTGCATCTTACTCCCACTCCCCCCTTCGACTCAGTTACAAGCCGAATCCCACCGTACTGGTCTCTCACTCACCTAGCCAGGCCGAATATTCTAGCAGCTCAGAAGAGTCTTTCGATAATGTCGATCTGTCGTCTTGTTTGGAGGGCCTTCACGTTGACGGCATCAGTGTCCTGAACACCTTGAACGACATGTCGCCCTTTGGACAGACTCCGTGCCTTCCCCAGCCCGTGCCTGGCCAGGGCGAGTCCTTGGAACAACCCGGGTACTTCCGAAAATGGATGAAGGCCATCCATCGTCGAGCCCAGCGCAGGCCTGGTTCTCTTGATGGTAGCGAAAGATACCATTGGAAGCCCCTGGACCCCACAGATACGGATCTACCTGCCCGTCAGAGTGACAATGACCACAGGAGATCCTCATTTGGCTCGTCATTTGGGTTTGTCGCCGCAGTGAGAAGCGCTAGTGTCAGTCTTGCCAGTACCAGCGTTGTGACCCACCGCTGGAAGAACGCCGGCCGTTCCAGGACCGACCGTAGCAGTCGTGGCTCTCTAGCCATTACACGCCGATCCGAGGACAGCGGCTATGGAGAGCGGTCAACCATGGCCGATCGGGCTGCAATCCAGCGGGCCTTACAGCGCCGTCGCATTCTCGAGGAGCTCATTAGCACCGAAGAGGGTTATATAGGCGATGTTCGCTTTCTAATGAACGTGAGTGGCTATGGCCTAGGCATCTGCATCTGCATCTGCATCTGGATTTGGTCGCAACGCTAACCGTGAAACCGCAGGTCTATGTCACCATCCTCGCTTCTCTGCCCACCTCTCCCACGGGGCTACGGCCATCTATCAACCGGAATCTCACGGATATCGTTGAACTGCACGAGGAGATTCTTGGCGACCTACATCGGACGGTTCCCAACTCAGAATACACACAGCCAATCCCCGTCCTCTCGCCACCGAACTCATCGACAGGAATTGGTCATCGGAGATGGCGGAGTCTCGATGCTGTTCCGGAAGACAAGGACACCCATTCCTGGCTTCAATACGCTCCCTGCATAACATCGGAAGCCCAAGTTGCTGGTGACGTCGCAAAGATCTTTAGCAGGAAGGTCAGTTTGAGTCCATCATGACCACCAGTATAGGTGCCATGAACGATGTATGTCCGAGACTGACGCCGTGCCCATGCCCAAGATGAGCCGATTCTTCATCTACGAAGAGTACGGCGCTAAATATGAAATGATGGTCAAGGATGTGGCCTCGGCTCACCACAAACTGCCACAGTGGGATGCATATCAAAGGGGCCTTGAGGCTTTGGCTTCCTCCTTGGGAGCAGCTAGCTATCACGAAAATCAGTCCAGGAAATCATTGACGATTGGAGATCTCCTGGTCAAGGTGGGCATCTCGCGTTCTTTTCCTCGTTTCTTCTCTATCGTCACCCAGCCGTCAGTCAGCGTTGGTAGTAACTCTTTCGCAGCCTATTCAGAGAATCTGCAGGTATCCGCTGGTATTCGCAGAACTTCTGAGACATACACCGGTAGATGACGACCCAAACTGTCACATGGAGGTTGAAAACGTGTTGCTGCGACTGCGGGAAGCGACGGCAGAGATCAACAGAGCTACCAACGATTCTCAAATGAGATCAACATTACAGAGGACTTGGATTCTTCAGGACCGTCTCATCTTTGCCAACCAGGTGGGAACAGGCCAGTGACCTCATCCGATCCATCCTCCCGGTGCTGACCGTTTCCCAACAGCGGATTGATGCCGCGTCGAAGAATCGAATCCGGTCCTTCGGTCATGTCGAGCTTTGTGGGGCGCTATATCTGTGCTGGCAGACCAAAGAAGGGGTCAGGGGCCAGTACATGGTCTGCATCCTCTATCGTGACGTGTTGTGTCTTGCTTCGGCTGGGAAGTTCGAGCAAATATACGCAATCGAAGCTTGTATCAACCTTGACAGCATCAAAGTCGAAGAGACGGACAACGGCCGAGGTATGACGATGAGCTCCTCCGATATGTCGGATTTGCACTGACCCAGCAACCAGGTCTCCAATGCCACACAGCACCGTTCTCTTGGAAGTTGGTATTCGAATGCTATTCGCAACTCTATGAAATAATCATGACCGCTTGCACGGCGAAAGAGCAGGACGAGTGGCGCAGCCGCTTAAACCGCCCTATCAAAGAGGGGCGGCGAGTCACAGATCCGAACCTCTACAGCTCATTGACATTGGGCATTCAGAGCCTGGGAACTGTGTTTAGCAAGCCAGGTAGGCCTTCGGGATGAAAGCGTATCGGACAACCATGGCTGACTGATAAACTCGCGAAGGTACCATGGCCCGTCGAATGGCGATTCAGCGGGCCACGACCGTAGGAGCCAAGTCCCCGCTCTGCCAGGTCGTTTTGAAGAACACCAGCTTGGCGCGAGACGTTGGCAGCATATCGGTCAACTCGCCCCTTAACCGATCACAGTCGCTCCACATGAATAAACGCATTCCCATATTGGCTCCGCACCGAGGGGAACGGACAAGACTTGAAACGCTGTTATCGGATGTCTGGAGCCGAGAGGTGCTGCCATTCCCTGGCATAACGGGCAGGTTGCGAAGCGAACATCCGGTTCTAACCACGGCAACGACGATGATGCGAAAGCTCAGCGTTACGAACATTGCCAGTTCCTTGACGAGACGATCAAATAGCGTGGCCAGCACGACCAAGTCCTCCGGTAATGATGGAATAGTCCCTGGAGATGAGAATCACACTAGGCTGCCGAGCATAGTAAACGAAAACAGCCCAAACATGGACGAGGGGCCTTTCGCAGGGGCCAAGCTGGAGCCGGTCTCTAGGTCTACCACTCTGCTTGAGATTCCAGACGGATCCGAGAAGAGAAACCCGACCACCACATCGTCTGGCTTGATCTTTCAAACAGCCGAAGTGAGCGGACTAGACCGTCGTCAGTGTTCACTTTACAGCCACGGTCATGGCGATTCAACACTAGAGGGTATGCTCCCGGCGGAGGCCAGAGCACTGCGCGGCTCTTCAACAGACCGTGGCTTTCGTTTACGACGCAACAAACATAACTCATCGTCTTCGGAAGTCTTGCCCCGCACCTCTGGTAAGAAAAAGAAGAGGCCAACGCAGGGAGCACCGAAGAAACCCAGATTGATTCACCGGACAAGCAGCCGGTGGGGGAAGGTAGGCGGGTTGAACAGAGATACCATGATGCGAAGTATACGTAGTTTCTTTCATCGGGGACATGAGAGCCATTCCAAAGACGCTTGGAAAGCGGGGGTCCAGGATGGCGGGTCTCCAGTACCTTACACATTATGAGCTGAGGTGGAAGAAGTGAAATAAGAGCGTGATGAAGTGGTGAGCCTGGATCGTACGAGTATGAGATGCATCGTAAGTGTTCTTATTCTGACTTTTGCTTTACTCTGATGAGGGGCGGAAAGCAGAGGTAGGGTTTCTAGGTAGATATTGATTATACATTAATTACGTAAGGTGCCTTGGTCAAGATGCCACGTACCCCCAAGTTCAACTTGAGTGTTGAACAAGCAGTCAGCTGAAGAGGCAAAGGAAACTCGACTAAAGATAGTCGAGGCATGAAGCTCGAGGATGTCCCATATTATTAAGACATGGCCAAGGGTCCAATGTCGTCCAACTACGAAGTAAAGGGACTTCACCGGCCGGCAGCTGTTTGCCGTTTCCATTAGTAACATTCCGTGCTCTGTGGCAGACCCTGAAGATTACAGGACGCCATTCTCTCTCTCGACTCTTGGGACCTTCCAAAATTCCTGGGCATACCGCACCGTATTCGTCACCTTACCTAACGTGCACTAAAGCCAGACGTAGTCACCCTCCTGGCATGATGTCGCCCGGCATGCGAGTAAGGATAAGGTAGGTACGAAGTACGAAGTTCGAAGTAATATAATCCGTACCTACCTACCTTAAGGTAGGTAGGTAGGTAAGGTAGGTAAGGTACCTTAATGATCGCTTCCAACGGAGGCTGCTTGGCATCGAGAAATGGTGTAGCTCCGAAAGGTGCGGTACTTCCATGTCAGCAACTGCGAGGTACCTCATATTGTGACGGAATGCGTGAAGCAGTGCGCAAGAGCACTTTTACAAGGCAGCAAACTATTCTGATCAACTTACGGCCGTCTGCTTCTTTAACATGGTTTTGGAGACGAGTTCCAATTATTGGGTGAGGTAATTGAAGTTGATGGACAAGTGTTGAGGCTATAGGTGCTGCAGATACGAGGGTCGGCAGTTTGCCTAGGTACCCGGTACTCATAGGATACGAGATGTCTCGGAATCGATGCGGGGCAGTAGGAGTGGGATGCGGGGCAAGAGCAGTGATGAAAGCACCGTCAACTCAACATCGTGTGCCTGCTCTCCTATGACGTAGCTATGTTACCAAGAAATAGATAGAGCCTTCGGCCAGCTTCCTGCCATTACCTATCCTGAGGGAAGTACTAATCAACAACTTGATCCCAAAGCTAGCTGACTGCTTCTATAAAGGCTCTACTTTTCCTTCCTCCTCTTAGTCTTCCTGCCTGATCAATTCTCTCACCATACCCAAGTCCTAGCAAGCAAACGCGAACGATCTCTTGTTTCCCATAAATTTTAGACTTCCCCGATCTCTACGACGACGCCTCCTCTCCTCTCACACCCACACACACAACGAACTTACAGACTCAACTTTCAAAATGACTCGAGGCGAAGTCAACCAGGCCAAGGTTCACTTTAAGGCCCGGACTGATGACTTCTTTGTCTTCATCGACGACCCCGAAGACTTCCAGAAGTGGCGCGGCGGCGACAAAAGCGTGCCCCTCACAAACTTCATTTCTTCCTTCAGAATTTTCGTCACTCATGGGTAAGCAAACC